AGGCTCTGCCTCACTGGGCCTCAGCTTTCCCACCTGTAAACTGGAAATTATGGCCCCTGGTTTGCTGTGAGGCGTGGGCAAGCATTTATAGCTTGTAGAGTGGAGTCCGTTTGTGAAGTGCCATTATTGGCCCTATTATTTGTATTTGCTCAAAAAACTTCTCAAAATGGAGAGGGGCCAGGTGGGGCATTATAAGAGCATCAGGATTAAAGAGGGCTGCGCTAGGTAATTCTGGGGTCATACTTGGGCTGCAATGTAGTGTTTCTGGGGCAATTATAGAGTTCTATTATTTGGAAGTGCTCCATGAAGAGTACTTAGGATATGCTTGGAAATTCCTGGGGCATTTTTGGGGTACTGCTAGCTAGTTCTAGAGCAGTGGTTCTCAACCTTCCTAATGCCGCGACCCTTTAATACAGTTCCTCATGTTGTGGTGACCCCCAATTTCATTGTTACAAATTGAACATAATTAAAGCATAGTGATTAATCACAAAAACAATATGTAATTATATATGTGTTTTCCGATGGTCTTAGGCGACCCCTGTGAAATGGTCGTTCGACCCCCAAAGAGGTCGTGACCCACAGGTTGAGAGCCGCTGTCCTAGAGTGTTGGTAGAACAATACTCCAGTATTACACAGCTGTGGAGCTCACCACAAAGAGTACTGACGTTTCCTGAGGCACTTCTAGAGCAGCACTGAGATATTAACCGTAATTTCGGGGCCTTTCTGGATTACTCTGGGAGACATCAGGTAGCCACCAACCCTCCTCGCCACCCAAGCCCCCACTTAGGCTCCTCCATACTGGACCCGGCCCGGTCCCGCCCACCGGCCACGCTCCGCCCCCGGAGCCCGCACCTGCGCAGAGCGCTCCCGCGTCCTCGTGGTGGCCGCAGTTGTGCACGCCCCAGCCCAGGCTCGGGCAGGCTGCCAGGCGGGGCTCGCCGCCTTCACAGTTAACGTTGTCCAGCAGGATGTGTCCCGTGCCATAGCCGAAGAAGGCGTTAGTGGTGGCGGCCAGGGCCTCCCCGCAGCCCAGCTGGCGGCAGACCACGGTGGCGTCCGGCAGCCCCCAGTCATCGTCGCACACAGTGCCCCACAGGCCGCCGTGCAGGATCTCCACTCGGCCCTGGCAGGGGCCTGCGCCCCCCACCAGGCGCACACTGCCCTCGCCTGGTGACGTTGGGGGCAGAAGAGGGGGCAAGGGGGCAAGGAGCAAATCCCACAGGGCGCTGCCTCCCATCACCTCCTAGAGACCAATGCACTTCTACAATGCCCTAGGCCTACCCCACACCTACAGCGCATGGTGTCCCGGAAGCGAAAGCCCTGGAGGAGCGACTCATTCACCCCCAAGGCACTGTCTCCTCACAGCCCAGATTGGGGGTGGTTTGTGGGATCAGAGGACAGACTGGCGTTGACTGTGTCACTCGCTGCCTAAAAGCAACCCTCCCTGCCTTTGTCCATGCTCTCCTGAGCGGTTGTGCTGCTTCCTCCGTTAAGACTGCAGTGAAAGCCTTCTGCCTACCTAGGTACAGCACCAACAACTCCTTCTCCAGGAAGCCCTGCCTGCTCTCTGACGGACTGGACGCTCTTCCTCCTCCGGACTTCCCTGCCTTTTATCTGTTGTGCCTCTTTTAGATTGCTTTTCATTTTCTTGTTCTACATCATTATCAGCATTTCTGTGCATATCTGACTCTCCCATTAGATCAAGCTCTAGCGCTCACCTCTCACTTTCTCCAACCGTGCGCTGACTATTTTTAGGCATTCTACAGGAATGAATCCTCTTTCCCTATCCAGAAGGTGAGCAGCCTGAGGGGGTACAGGAGGCAGGATGGGGAGGAGGAATGACCAAACTCAACCATCAGTAATCCTTCTCTTCTCACGTAGGGTTGATATCAGAGACTGTTCTCTGGGTCCCTCTCCTAAGACCCGGGTGGCCCCCCACATTGCCTTTACTTACCTCTCCCATTCTGGGTAGTTGTAGGGGGTGCCCTGCTGGTTAACACTTTCTTTGTTGGGGGTTGCGTGAGCAAGAACTCTGGAAAGGAAGGGAGGATGACAAATGGATCTTTCTGTTCTCCATCCTCACACCCACAGGTGTATAGGTAGCAGGGCATGGACCCCTAAGGTGCCTGCTCCTCAGGGCCTTTGGTCACACAAAGGATGAAAGCCAGGGATAGGAGAGGTGAAAGGGCCCCCTGGGTCCAGGAAGCAGTAGCTCTAGAGGAGTTCTTTTAGTTCTTAAAGCAGCATCACATCACCTGGGAACTTGTTAGAAAGGGAAATTCTCAGGCTCAACCCCACACCTGCAATAGTAGAAACTGGGAGGGGGCCACAATCTGAGCCTTCCAGGGGATTTTCTTGAAAATTAAAACCACTGCTCTCAAGGTCAAAGCCTCTCAGAGGTTTCTGCTGCAACTCTATGCCAAGTGGACCTGTGGCAGTGTTGACCCCAATCATCTGATTTAAAAAATGGGAAGGGGACTTTGCTGGTACAGTCAAAGTCCTACATGGAAGGAGTAATGTTGAGTTTTGACCAAAGTCACACACTGAGCTAGAAGCACCACTGGGGTCCAGGGCTCTTGGCCAGCCTGGAGCTCTTCCCCAACACCATGCAATGCAGCCACTGGCTTGGTCTTCTACATGGAACAGTGTTACCGCTGGGAAGTCCCTTCATTTATCTAGCCTTCAGCCCTGCTATCTGACACAACCTGCCCTCCTAGGTCACAGGACTCTGCTCACCATCACACAGAACAGCCACATCCTCGTAGTGAAAGCAGTTGTGGACTCCCCAGCCTCGGCTGCCGCACTCACTCAGAGCAGCTTCCTGCCCACGGCAGTCCACGTTGTCCAGCAGGATGGGGCCTCGGCCCTGCCCAAAGGCAAGGGGCCTCGGCACAGGGAGCGCCAGGCCGCAGCCCAGCTGACGACATACCACATTGGCGTCCACCACGTCCCAGTCATCGTCACAAACGCTGCCCCAGGAGCCACCATGCAGGACCTCCAGACGCCCCCGGCAGCGGCTCGGACCCCCCACCAACCTCAGTTCTGTGGAGAGGGTTGAACTGGCACCTGGGGGATCCCTGGGTCCAACCTACAGGATGCCCATCTTGCCATGAAGTTATGGGAGCCTTAGGAACAGTCCCTCCTAGATCTCATGTCTCCCTTCCTCTATATTGGGGAGACTGGTGCAGTCCCTTTGGGGCATCTAAAACAATAGAGGTCTTCTGTCTGAGCATCTGAGTACCTGGGGTCGGAGTAGGGGGGTGGGGAGGAAGGAGCAGGGGCACCTACCTGGAAAAGGCAGTGAGGTGGGCTGTAGGGCACCGGCTGAAACAGAGTGAGGAGAGCATTGGCCCCCTCTTCCATCATGCCCCCCCTCTTCACTACTCCTGCTTTCCCCAAGTCTCACGTCTTCCCCTGACTGTCCCAGTTGGCCTCCTTGCCTCACCCTCTCCCGTTGGTCATGGACCATCCAGAGAGAGCTGCCTAAGACAGATCTGTTTATCCCCACTCCTCTGCTAAATTTCTCAAACACTCCTCTTTTCTTATAGGAGTCCCAGCCCCTGAGCTTTCTCTACAAAGCCTTCTAGTATCTTCTGACCAGTCTTCTCTGGTCAATCATGCTAATTACAGCCCTAGGGAGCCTTCAAGATCCGGCTCAGAACCCCCTCCTCCAGAAAGCCTTCCTGGAGCCCTCAGCTAGAAGTGCTCTCTATTCCTTCTGAGTCACTGGGCACCACATACACTCCCCTTTCTGGGCCTCCTGCCTGGTGATGTGTCCATGCCTGTCTCGGCTTGGTGTCCCGCAGAGCCCTCTGCCCAGAGCCTGTTATTCAGCGGATGCTCAGTAGCTCTGCTTTAAGTGTGTGAACTGGTTTGGGGGTTCATTGTGATTCCCCCCAAAGCTTTACCTAGATGAGTCCTTCTGCTTCAATTCTCGTGAATGTACATTCCAGGCACTGTGCTCACTGCTCTATGTGGCCTGGCCCACTTCATCATTAGGACAACTTATAAAGTAGGTAGGATATTGCAGATGGGGAAACTTCAGGTTTAGTGAGGTTAGGCAACTTGCTCAAGGCCACACAGCAAAAGGTAGAATTGGGATTCCAACCGAAATTGCCACATTCGCCTTCCCCTTACAATTCTGAGTACGTGGCCTGAGAGGCAGGGAGGAAGCAGGGAAACTGGCCCACCAAGGGAAATTGAAAACTCCATAATAGTCCACTTGTGCACAAGCTATTACTGTGTTTAGACACTTTCACATACATCACTTCAGAGAATCCTTATAACAATGCTCTGAGACAGGTACTGAGGTACCCATTTTACAGATGAAGAAACTGAGTCTTGGTTTCTTCATTTTTTAAGTTAGGATAGTCCCTAAGTCATTTGATTTCATTTATTCTACCAGCTGCCTTTCCAACAGCCATTAGTAAGCCCATCCCCTTTCCCTCCTTTCCTACTTCCAATGTCCCTTAACTGCCCATACTCTGTGCACATTGATCCTTCACCCCCAGCACTGAGCCCTCCGCTTCTCCAAGTCAGACCCTTAGCTCTAATCAACCCTGGACAGATGTCGGAGATGGAAAGAATGTTGGAAACCACCTCATTTACAAACCACCTCCCACCATAATTTTACAGCTGGGAAAACTGAGAGTCAGAAAGGGAAGTGGTTGGGGTTAGCGGGACAGCACTCACCCAGTGGCAAGAGGAGGAGGAAGGATAGGGCTGGGGGGATAGGTGCAGGTACTGTACTCCTGTCTCCAGGGCTCCACCCCCTGCTCTGATCTGGTTGGGGACCAATTCGAATTTCTGCTTCCTTGTGTGTCCAGCCAGTCGTCGGCCTTTCTAATGGTTCCATCATGGAGCTGGTGAAGAAGTCACAGCAGGAACATCTGGAATTAAAAATTCCAAGTCACTTCTTCCAGCTGGAAGGTCCCAGTGAGAACTTCAGGGGGAAGTGATATTTCCACGTGGGTTTGGCATTCTGCGTGGAGGCAGCAGGAGCAGCTGGGAGATGAGAAGGAAGGGAGCACAGATGGAAGCTAATGAGGAGTTAGGTCTGGCTGGAGCAGAGAGTGTGTGAAGATGAATGGTGGGAGAGGAAGTTGGAAGGTTGCCTGGGTCCAAACCCAGAAAGGCAGTGTACCCCAAAGGGTGGTGTTGGTGCTACTGGTGGCAACCCACGTCAATTTAGGGGGAGATAAATGAATATTTATGGTTTTATTTTCATTGCTTATTTTTTTTTTAACAATGCCTTCTATTTATGGCAAAGGATCCTGGTTTTCCATTTATTGGCACAATATAAAGTTTCTCTTTAAAGTTAGTTTAAATCAGAAGAAACGAGTCAATTAAAAAATCAAGGAAATATAGTTCACAAATATGCAAAAAAATGGTGAAGGGCTGAGAGAATAAATGTCATTTGGGATGCTCTGTCTTTTTGGGATGAGAAGCCCTTGAGGATTTGTTGTTGTTGTTAAATTTTGGATTGAAGTATACAAGTTAAAAAGTACTGAAGTCATAAGTGTAGAACTCAGTGAACATTTACATCACGTAACCAGCATCCCAGAAACCCCCCATGCCTGCTTTCTTCACATACAAAACAGGGGTGGGGTGCTGGCTGAGGGGATAGTTCTGTTTTCAATATATTGAGAGTGCAGGTCCATGGGTGCCCCTCCCAGCACACCCCCCCTCCCCCATCTCTCCCTGGCTGTGCCTCGGCCCTGGCATACAAAGAGTCTGGTTGGGGAGAGGTTGAAAACCTATCTGGATGTGGGCACGGGGTTTTCAATACCCCATTCATGGGGCCTAGGACAGCCCCCAGTGGAATAATCAGCTTTTGTCCTCCCTTTGCCTGGCCTGGAGACAGCTGGGAGATGGGAGTTGAGAGCTGTGAGTAGGGGGAGCCACAGTCCAATCTTTGCTGAGGAGATCCATAGTGATGGGGGTCTGCCCCCCACTTCCTGGGCCTCAGGCCACACAACCTTCAGGCAGCTGGGACGCTTGCCTCCAGGTCAGGTCAGCCCCACCCCTGTGAATATGGGACACCCAGTTTCTAGGGAGCCTGGCTGGGAATCCTCAAGTCACCCCACTGTGTCCCCCGCCACCCCAGGCTAGGGGTGATGGAGAAGGGCCCTTGATCCTGATCCCCACTGACTTCAAGTCCCAGCTGACCCAAGAGCTCCCAGTGGGCTCTTGGAGCCTGCCTACCTCCAGCTCCAAACTTGGCCCCAAGCCTGCTGCTGCCTCACTCCCTGGGAACCTTGGTCAAAGTGAAGGTTAACCATTCCCTGCCCTCTTTGAACTTGGCTCTCTAAAGCAGTGGTCGCCAACCTTTCGGACCTCAGGGACCACCAGTGGTCCACGGACCACCGGTTGGCGACCGCTGCTCTAAAGCACTCTCGCTCCCTCCCCACCCTTCATGAGTACACCTTTTGCCCTGAACTGTCTCTTTAAGTGCAGGGCAGGCAGGCAGCATAACACAACTCCACCAGCTCCACCAACTACTACCTACTCTGTGTGACCCCACCTTGCTAAGTAAGACTCACTGTCCTCATCTGTAAAATGGGGTTAGTAATACACTTACCTCTTACAGTTGTTGCTGGGTTAAGTAAGTTTATAAAAGGGGCAGCTCAGTGTCTGACGCACTGTAAGTATGGCAGCTATTCACAGTCTTCCCATCTAGACTGTGAATCCTTGAAGGCAGGGACTGACTAGGTTTTACTCAATAGCAGTACCTGGCCCAGGATGGGTACACAGGAAATGTTTATTGAATGACTGAATGGTGCCGCAGAATCATGGAATGAAGCAGTCAGAAGGGGTCTGGGAGACCATCAAGAACAACTCCACATCTGACAGTGGAAAACTTACCACACACACACACACACACACACACACACCCCACCACCACCAAGAGTGAAGAATTCATACCTGGGAGAATGCTCTGGGCTCTTTCTGTCCCTTCTTCTACAGTCAATCCAAGGTCAAATCACTTTTTCTGCCCCCAGAAGTTTAGGAGGGGGTAGGATCCCCCAAATGCAAATCAACACAGATCTCTCTTCCTTTCTTTCCAAAGCTGGAAGGTGAGCAGAGGCAACGTCTCTGTCCATGGAGCTGCTGGTGGCCCCAGCCTGTCCCCACCCAACCTTAGGGGCAGAGGGAGGCAAAGGGAGAGTGGAGGTGTCCTGCACGGTCTGGAGCAGCCCTAGAGAAGGGGCATCCAGGCAGAGGAGGAGCTATGGGGCGGGGGCGCGCTGGCTTGGACACTCAGGGCCAGGCAGCCCCTCCTTCCCCTCCCCCCAACTCCAGGTCTCAGGTTTCAGAAATGCCTGGATTGGTCTCCACCCCTTTGCAGGGCAGCCAAGCATCCCTGATCTCCTGTGATGGCCCTGATTCAACCCCTTAGTCCTGTTGCCTGGGGAGTCCCTTTTACCAAGACCTGCCCCACAGCCCACCTGGGGGCTTGGAAACCTGGCCCCAGGGGCCAGAGTGTGCATGGTGAGTTTCCCACATAGGTGGGGTCTCTGATTTTGCTACTGATTTTATCTTACTGTGGTTCCTCTTGAGTTCTGGTACCTTTTGGGCCTTTGTAGTTATAGGTGACAGGAAGTGTGGCATGTGGCTTATTCTATAGTTTATACCTTCAGTAAAATGCTGCACCTTCTCCCTGGAACCACAGAGCTGGAGGCCCTGCAGGGCAGTTCCCAAACCTGACTATGCATCCCATCATGCCCAAGGGCACTCTTTTTCCCCATGTGATTTTAATTTATTTTTAATTTTATTTTTTTAAATCCTCACCCAAGGATATTTTTCCATTGATTTTTTAGAGAGCGTGAAAGAGAGGAAAAGACAGAGAGAAATATTTTTTTAATAAAGGACATTTTATTATGTATTTATTTATTGTTAATCCTCACTGGAGGATATTTTTCCATTGAGTTTTAGGGAGAGTGGAAGAGAGAGGGAAAGACAGAAACATCGATGTAAGAGAAATACATCGATTGATTGCCTCCTGCACATGCCTTGACCAGGGCCTGTGGTGGGGAGGAGCCTGCAACTGAGGTACATGCCCTTGACCAGAATCTAACCTAAGACCCTTAGGTCCGCAGGCCGTGGCTCTATCCACTGAGCCAAACCAGCTAGGGCCCAAGGGCACTTTTAAAAATATAAACGGTGTCCCAAAAATGTATATACATACTTTGAATAATTATAAAGGCAGTGTTTATTAAAATACATTTCATTTTCAATATTGAGCTATCAGCTGTTAAAGTGTCTATACATTTTTTGGGGACACCCTGTATATAGATTATTGCTCCCACTACTTCTGTCCCAGAGATTCCGATCAAACAGTTCAGGGATGGGTTCCCCTAAAAGTGTATTTCTCAAAAGCCTCTGAGGCTCAAACATGTTTGGGGACCGGGGTTTAGCCAAAGCTGTTTATGTTCCCGGTGGGAAGACCAAGGCCAAGAGTGGAAAATGGAGACGCAGCCCATGCACCTAGAAGGACTCAGTTTCCTGACTCTCAGATCTCATCTTGCTCCCCACTTTTCAGAAAAAGAAAACTCTCCGATGGGAGGTCTGCCATCACCCTGCTCTCCTTCCTCCTCCTCTCCTGCCTTTCCTTCCTCCCTGGCCGGAGGAACCGCTCCCCCGCAGTCCAGACCTCATCTCCTTCTGCCTCCACAGGGACCTCCCTCTCTCCATCTGGGTGTCTTTTCCCTTCCCTAGTCATCTGCTCTTTCCCAACTGGATTCTTCACTTTGCGTTTCTAAGCACACTCTGCTCTCTATCATGAAAAGAAAACAACAGCCTGGCTGGTGCAGCTCAGTGGTTGAGCATCAATCTATGAACCAGGAGGTCACAGTTCCATTCCTGGTCAGGGCACATGGCAGGTTGCAGGCTCAATCCCCAGCGTGGGGTGTGCAGGAGGCAGTCGATCAATGATTCTCCCTCATCATTGATGTTTCTATCTCTCCCTTCCTCTCTGAAATTAAAAAAAAAAAAGCAAACAACAGAAAACCCTTCCCACCTGTGTTGGTTGGGTCTTCGGGTGCTGGTATCCCTGCCATGCTCTGTCACTGACTGGGAAACGCCCGGCAAGAGTGTGGTCTCCGCTCAAATGCTGCAGTGCTTCCGGAAGGTGCTGGACTGGAGGCTGTCAGCTGACTGAATTCCTCACATCCCATCAGCAAGTTCCTTCTCCAGGGCAGGTCCGAGCAGCACTTCTGCAAGGCTGCCACTGGCCTCCACAGCCCCTCCTCCAGCTGGTGCCCACCCCTCTCCTTCCATCACAGCCACACTTCTCTAAAGAGCTGTCTGCACACATCTCCATTTCCTTACCTCTCACTCACTGCTCAGCTTGCTCCAGTCTGCCTTCTGGCCTCATTACTCCACTGAGGCAATTTTTCCTAAGGTCACCAGTGACCTTCATGTCATGAGGTTCAAGGGCCTATTTTCATCACTTGTTTTAGTTAGAATATGAGCTCTGATATGATAACAGAGAGAACCTGTATTCTTCAGTTTTTGCTGTGATAACATGCAAAACAACCCCTAAATTGCAATAGCTTAAAGCAGCGATTTTCAACCGGTGTGCCACAAGAATTTTTAAATCGGGCAAATACTGATTATTTAGTCAGGGGCTCGGACCGCTTTTCCTTGAGATTGTAAAATTTAAAAAATGACAACAGACAACACAACAATAGCTGTTTGGTATGAATGAATCAAAATGATATTTTTTTTGTCAGATCAGCAAAAAATATTTTTTTTTGGTGTGCTGCAGAATTTTAGTATTAGTTTATGTGTGCCATCAGATGAAAAAGGTCGAAAAATCGCCGGTTTAAAGCAAAAATTACTTTCCTCCCATGGTTCTGCATGTTGGCTGTGATGGTTCTGTTTCA